AATTTGTTTGTGGAAAATGATATGCTTGATTTTAGACGTCTGTACGAATGCTCGTTACGCAACAGCGAGCGCAACTTGCAATTAATGCGAACAAGTTGTACAAATGAAGAGCAACAACAACAAAGGCGACCGCGACAGCCCGATATCCGAGATGTTACTATTCAATTACGACATATGTCAGAACCAAAGTATATTTTGTTCATTTAACAATTCTTTTAGATTCGATCAATTTGATTGAAATTTAGCATATCTCTGTTTGTCATAGCTAATTAGTTTTATGACTTCTTTATCAGTTAAGGTACAATTTTATTCCATCTAAAGCAACTAAGTGATAATTTGTGTGATATGATTGTCAGAAGACTATATTACTTTCGTGTGTTTTTCGACTACTTTTTAGTAATTAAAAATAATTAAATAATTATTTTGGAGAGTTGAAATCAAATTTTCTCTTAAAATGTAAACCAATAATATTTTGATACAAAATAAGCTAATGAGAGAAATGAAAATATATTTCTTTTATCAGCTTATTTTGGATTAGAAAAAGATATCAAAATATTGCTTTCTTCAGAGAATAGTGAGAAATTTTTTAAATTTCATTAATAAAACTAATGAACTTTCATTTTGTTGTGCTATGCGAAGCTCTTCTACACAACGTTGAAATGTACGATCGAATGTAAAATATGCAAAAAAGAATGAAAAAATCAAATTCTATCTACGATTCTTCTAATGCTAATGAATGACTGATACAAAAAGAAAATATTGAAAGATAACTGAGAGGGAGAAATGAATGCTTATTTTGTGGTGCGCATTTTTTTCTATATTGTTCTCCAAATTTAATGAAGTAATTTGTTTGTAAGAATAGAATAGCTTCCGAATAATCATCTGTTTGCCGAATTAGATCTTATCAATTTTATTAATGGTAATGCTAATTTTTGTGATCAAATTTACATAATATGTAATCGTAGGATTCAAATTTCCCAGTTTATTTTTATCGAATTTCTAGCTCAAATAACGCCTTCGGTGATTTTTTTTATACAGCGGTCAAAAGAAATTTATTTTTCTTATTTCATCCAACTATTATTATTTTTTTGCAAATAAAATAATTTGATAAGTTAAGGTAAATGCATCTTTTTTAGCTTAGTGTATAATCTGCAAAAGCTGTTTTTTTTGCTGAAATTTTTTAAAATAAGACTACTAATATTCTCGTTTATAATTGTTAAAGAATGATAACAACGAGAGAATTGAAAGCTGTATTTCTCTACGATTTTTCATTCATTAAATTTCTTTCAATTTTGTGTCAGATGAAAAAGAAGCCCATAGCAAGGAACGCTATTAAATTTTAGCAATTGAAATCGAAACCTCCAAACTTCTTCAAAATATAAATCAAACTCATTCACTCACCCTCTCTCTCTCTCTCTCTCAATCTCTCTCTGTCTCTTTCTTATTTTCCGGTAACCAGTTCCTGTTTGCTTAAAAATTTAATAAATTTGTTTTGTTAAATTATGAGTAATTTCATTTTTAAGTAGTTGGAATTTAACATAGTAAACGTAATTTACGTTAGTAAATTTGTTACATTACGTATATTGGATTTTAATTTCTTAACGTGGTTTTAATTTTTTTTAATCTTTATTTTTTCTACATTTTGCATAATTTTAAACATTATTTAGATTTCTTCAGCATTGAGAAAATTAAAACCAAAATAAAAAAAAACATCAAAAGTGAATTTTTAAAATAAAAATTTTTTCAAGAAAAGAATTTTTGAAAAGTACTTACCGTATTCTTTCAATTTTCTCTGTTTGAAAAAATCAACATGCGAAAAAGTCAATTTCACGTTCCATTTTATTTATTAATTAAAATGTGCGTAATTTTTGCAAAATCAGTTTTGCTCTACAAATGTTTTTCTTTTGCCAAACAAATTCTCTCTTTTTTCTCTCACCATCTTCTTGCCCTTCTTGTGATACATTTGATCTCTTCTGATCTATTCTTATATAAATTACATAATCAAACTGGTAGATAAAACACTTAGATATTGTTATTAGGTTGAGTTAGTATAAAGTATTGATTATGATAGTATTAAATAGGTATGGAATTTGTAGAACTTTTCCAAAAATTCATGAAATTGTTTGTTTTAGCAAATATTTTTCATAGTTGAGTACATTTGTTAAATATTTTCATCTGTATTTAAATCAAACTTGAATGATTAATCATTGTTAATAATTGAATGATTAATCTTTATTAAGCGCAGATAAGCAACTTTTTGGTGCATTTAAATATGAATAATATATTGTCATTGTTTAATTTGGGAATGAATGATAATTTGCATGTGAAATGTATAAAGAAAAATGTGAAACCAAATGTATTTTTGTTTAAAAAAAAAACCAAATTTACATGTTCACTGTATTTCAGCGTAAATATGGTGAGCGATCGTACAGCGCAAGAACGATATTTACAATATCTGTCAGGAAGAGAAGATAGCTTTATGCATCAAAGAAATGGTAATATCGATGATAATGATAATGATAGTGATAAGAGAAAACAGAGTAGCAGTAATGAGTGGGAAGAATGGATGAGGAATCAACCGATCAGTGTCCTTCGATTGGATCGAACGGAACGGCTAGTCTTAAAAATTGGAGGTTGGTCCTTTTTTCTGAAAAAAAACTTTGAAATTTGCATAATAAATTTCCAAACCACTTTTTCTTTTTCTTTTTCTTATTTGGTTCAATTTTACCCAAATTATGCAATGTCTTCATTCTAATAATTCGCATGAAATGAGCTGAATATCTCAAATTTCCTAATTCATGAAATAAATGCAAAATGCAAATTTGATCAGTAATTCCTCGTTATTTTTAATTTTAACAATCGAAAAATATTTTTACATTTTTTATAATCCTTTTTCTATTATTTATTATTATTAACATTCTTAATCTTGCGGGAAAAAAATTTCCATCGAAAAATTTTTATTAAAATTATGACCAATACATGAATGGTCAAATAAATTTCTTTTAATTCATATGATTAATTGTGTGCTATATATGATGTTACATTAAAATGAATTATCACAAGATAAAGAGATCAATGTAGTAATGACATTTTGTGTAACAAAATGATTGTTACAGCATTCGAATAGCTTACGAGGTAATCAATGTATGCGCAATTCTCTGAACTTTTTCAAATTCCATATTTCTTGCACAATATATATATATCACCTTATCATTCTTTATAAATACATTGTATTATCAGTGGTTTGGAAGCTATTCGTAGTGCAATAATATGGTACCCTATGGTATAGCTAATTAAAATTATATGTAAAATAAATGCAAATCTTTTACTTCCATTGTCCATTTGTACTTTAAAATAGTCCATTCATAATTTGAACTTATTGACGTTATTCGATGGTAAGATGCGATCATAAATCTTTTGCACATTTTAATATTTCAATAACTGTTTCAAAAAAATTAATTATTCTCCACTGAATGATCGTAATTCTTCTTTTTTTCTTCAAGTCTACATATAATTTTTTGATTAACAATTATTACTTAAACCAAGTGGAAATATATTTTCAATCTACGGGGAAAGCTTTTTCCGGCATAATTCCTTAAAATTTTAATTTCAATTATTTTTCTTCCCTTTTCTTTTATACTTTTCTTCATTTCCAAAATATTGAATTTAGTACATATTTTCATGCTATCATTTTGTATATTCATAACATCTGAAGTTATATTTTTCATTGCTTCTCATATAGACTACCATTAAAAAAAGACGCATCTCTTTTTACGAGCTGTTTTTTTTAAAAGAAATCAGTTCCAATTCCAGTGAAATCATCCTTTTTCGGTTTGCTATTACCATAATGAATAATAGCAAAAGAGAAAATAAAAATTGTCATAAAAATTTCTATATGATAACATTTACACGGAGCCAATAGCCTGGACATCTGTCTTTTCGCAATTGCAATGATTTGGCACACATTTCTCTTCCTCAGCAGAAGTTCCAAAATTAATTTCACCAAATTTCTTTTTTCTCTGACAAAAAAACGAAAAAAAATCATTGTAAAATTTTATAAAAATGTAAATAAATGACTTAACGAATGACTGTATAATTAATTATCAGTTATCAATTATCATTACTGTTATTATTAATTAAATTAGACAGTAAATGTGGAAAAAATTAAAGTACAATATTTTTATTTATTCATTTCAATTTCTGGTTATTTGTTAGCAATACAAATAATGGATGTATGATAGCAAGAAAAGAGAAATTAATACCATACTTCCGAAAATATTTTCATTTTCCGAATGTAATTTGAATAATCCGACCTTGACAATGATGCGATCATTATCTTTCATCTCTCAGATAGCGAAAAATTGTTTCACTCTTCTCTCACATCATTTATTCATATAATTTTCCCAAATATTCCGTTTACTTTTCACATTTTTCTTTATTAAAACAATAAAATTTTTTTTCCTACAATATTTCAAATCGTTACTCATTTCTTTAATTGTTAACATTTTAAATCGAAATTTATTCTTCTGATCACATCGTTTATTATTAGCAAATGATGACTGATATGTCCATGGAAATGAAGAAAATGTCTGAGGACAATTTCGCATTGTGATATAAATGGAGACAAGAGATAGGATTGGCATAAATGCACTTCCGGTACATTTGAGATAATTAATGTCTGAAATTCTTGTAAATGATTAAAGACAAACTATTATTCTTGTAATTCATCTCAATGTATTTGTTTCCTGGCAGGAAAACACTCTTTCATTTTATTTAACAAGGCTAAGATTCTAATCAATTTCCATTAAAATAGTTCTTTCTTCGTCACTAATATTTCAATTTCTAAAGTTTGAAATTTTTAATTAAAGTCTTTTGATTATCCGATACATTATCGTGCAGACCATGTTGTGCCTATTTTTGCTACCACTATGAGATATGACATCAATCATTTAAATATGAAAAAATTTGAGGTAAAAATCAATCAGGAATTAAATTTCTCAAATAAAGGAACAAAAGATGACTAATTTATGAAATTATTATCTTTAACGATTTCGTGTTAAAAAAAATTTACCCACATTTTATTATCCGATAAAGTTTAACCATTTGTCAATTGAATAGATACACCGAAACGGGGTCTCTTTCGTATCTGAAATGTATTCCTGATTAAAATATCGATACAGGTCCATAGAAATTAAAGCCGATTAAGATGCAAGAAAAAAATCAAAACAATCTTGAGAACATGCAGATAAAAATTCTTTGATTTAGTTAATATAATTCATAAATATGAAATTAAAATAAAAAAATTCTTGACGAAATTTTTCTGAAAATGGAATTCTTAAGAGTTTACACTTCTATTATTTATAAATTTTAAAAATAATTGTTTAATTCCACAATTCTCTGCAAAATTTAACTAATTTAATATTATATCTTTTTTCAGTCTTTAACTTGCATTCATGTAATTCCACAAGAATTACACATAATCTATTTTTTTTTATCAAAGTAATCTGATAGCGAAGTAAAAGCTATATAAAGTAGCCTATGCTTAATTGCTCATTTTCTGTTAATTAAATTATGGATAAAACTTAACGTTAATTAAATTGTCGGTAAAACTTTAGTTGTGATGAGAAGTTAAATGAATAATGAAGAAAAGAAAAATGAAACTGTAAAGTGAGAATGTCTGTTAATTGGAAACTAATTAGTTCCAAAAACAATTCTAACGAATTTACAACTACGTAAATCGAAACGACCTTAATTAATCATAGAAATATGTCATTAACATGGCATAGTTGTTCAACTATTCTTCCTGAAATTACTTGAATAACTTTGTCAATATATTAGGGTAATAACTGTATTTCTTCGAACATTTTATGACTGTAGTTCATTCCGGAAACTTTGAGATATTTCATATCAGATTTCTTTATTATTAGTACGTTTATGATCAGATTAATTTTATGTTAATAGCATTTCACGGCGTTACAATTTTGAAGGAGTAAGTAAAAAGATATTGAGAGACTATCAAAAGATAAGTCAATTTTAAAGTTTTATAGAAATTAAGGAGGAAATTGAAAGATTATCGATGATGCAAAAGAAGCATTAATATCGAGAAACACACAGTCGTAAACTGTTCTATAGAACATACTTTTGATAAGCAACCTGATAAACTTTATCAGTGATATAGCTTCGTGCTATCATTTCTTCTATTGAATCGCCCACTGGGTGATAGTTCATAGCATTTCCCTTTCATTTCAACATCTATTATTGTGAATTGTTTTCAATCGATTATTTTTATTTAAATTTCCTCTCTAAAAAAACTTTTCTCAAAAATTAGAATCAGAGGAGAATTTACATGTGAATAAATTTGAATTTTTTTTACAAAAATAGAATCAATAAAAATCTTAAAATCATATGTTAAAATTTTAAAATAATATGGATTTGAAAAGAGCTTTTTCTTTATAAATTTTCCATTTAAAATTACATGATTTTAATCAATATCACTATTGATTATCATTTGCTAACGTTATCATTGTTTAACATGTCAAATGCATTTGTTTACTGTCGTCGTTCCCCTCCGCCCTCACAACAAACTTCAATAACACTCTTCTCTCCTCTTTTCATATAACTTTATTTTAATTTACAGATTAGAATTTCACTAATTTTATTTCACTTTTCTTTTCTTTTTCCTCTCATTCTGTAATCACTCATTAAAATTAAATTAAATTAAAATCTTTCCGCATTTTTAAAATTATTCAAATTTATTTGAATTTTTTAAAAATTATTTGGAAAGAAAAACGATATGTAAGCGATAGATTACGTGAATTTTTTTATTTAAAAAAAACGAATTCTTAAATCAGGAAAAAATTTACAATCATTCATTAAAATTTTGAAATTAGAAATGAGAGAATTTATGAATAGCTCTCAGTTCAAATTAGCGTAGATAGCAAAAATGACATACATTTTACACGCTTTAATGTTTAAAAATGTCATTTATACTTTCATATATTTTTGACAAAAAGTATGATGAAAAATAATGAGGGAAATTATTATATCATTCTTTTTTGTTCACTTAACCATATCATTTTCTCTTCGTTCTTCAGCTGTTACGATTAAACATTTCAAAGCTATTCTTTTTTTAAATTCATTTAAATTCAATGCTATTGATCAATTTAAATCGATCACTGCAGCCAATCTAAAAAATGATGGCTCATTTGATATCAGAATAGTAAAAGGAAAAAGTTCATGACATGAATTGTCAAACTGTTGATTAATCTCCGATTTTCATTACTTAATCTTATTTGATCAATCAATCTATGATAGCAATTTTTCGAGCTTTTCCAAAAATCCCAGAATAAAACACTATAATTGTATGTAAACTGACTGAAACCAACAACAGGAATTTATTCTAGTCGAATATAAAATTATACAATTCCATTAATGGTCATTTTGAAAATAGCTGAGTTATTGCTATTGGCATGCCACATATGTATGCTAAAATTCATTAATAAAAGTAAATTCTCAAACAAATGGATTGTTTTGATGAATCTTTTTGAAAAGTTACAAAATAAGACCTGATGCTAATTGTAAGTCCTCATTTTCTTCTTTCATTAAATCAGTGAATAATTTTATCAACGGAAGAAAGATGGATGGAAAATTTTAATTTAATTTCAAAATGAAATGCATATTCATCCATGTTGTCTAACAGCTTCAATAAGCTTTAATCGATTTGTTTAAGCATACTTCATGCTAAAAAAATGAGGCATTCATGTATGCTTCATGCTTTCATTTAGCATCCAATGAATTCTGTGTTTTTTTTTTAAATTGTCACCGATCGATCTTTAAATTTATTGAGTAATACGCTTATTTGAGAGAATATTTGATATCATTCTTCATGTATGATAATTGATAAGCTAAGTGATTGTCAAACTTCAAAACCAGTTTAACAAGTAATATTCATCTGAGAAGTTTAAATTAAAGCTTTTTTTGGTTTTCTAAACTTTTAAACTAGCGATCATCTTGTTGTTGCTACCTCATAGCCATTTAAACATTTAAACATATACGTCGTTCAAAAATGGGTTTCTTCTAGAAATGTTAACACTTCATAAAATTAACTTTCATATTATTGCATTTAAT